TCTTTGGGAACTCTGCGGCTATGACCTCGTAGCGGGAACGCCCCGTGACTCCATGTTCCCCGTCTACCATCTCGAGAGTGCCACCGTGTACCGAGGGGAGGCACACAGGACACGGTTCAGGGAAAGGTTTAGCTTTCTTTGGACGGAGATGATTGGTCCACCTAACTCTGTTCTCTGTCTTATTGCATCCTACTACCTATAAACAGGGGTTCGCTACCGTGACTATAAATGAACTAGGTATGCCGACTTTTCTTACTTTTATCCACTTTTATTCCGGATAACTAGTACCTATGTATAGTGATCGGGGGAAGGGGAAATAGGTGATCTTACTTTTAAAAGTCTTTTGCATGATGCAGGTTTTTTTTCTTTCTCAATGATATTCAATAGTTAATAAACATCTAAAGAAACTGCACGACCGTGACGTCACGGTAACTGCTGACTTTACTTTCATCGGGTGCATGCTATCTTTACCGAAGACAAAAAGAAGAAGAAAGAAATGAGAAGAGAGAAAAGAGAGTCATGGGAAATCACAAATTGTACAAGGATTTCACACCCAGGATCGGTCACGAACTCTTTCAAGAAGATATAAGAGAAAGCTAAAACTAGAAGTTTCCTGAGCATGAGATACAAGTTATTTGCCATCATTAAAGATGTATTCACCATTCGACATAAGGTCTTCTCTTTTGTTTGTTAAGGTATCTTTTCTGGATCATATATGAAACAATTACTAAAATAATAAAAGTTTGATTGTTGGACTATAGTACTGATTAGGAGGCACGTACCTCGATATCAATTGGATTTGTATGCTAAAAACGAATAAATTAGACAATTCTAGTAAAAATGTGTCACATAAACAAATATTGTCGTTAAAATAAAGGAGTGTTTTACTGATCCAATCTGTATTTCCCCGTTATATTCTTTTTTCCAATACTTCATTATACTGTACTTTTTAGCCCGTATACTAAATAAATTTCATTATGACTAAATTCCATTTGAATCACAAGGACGAGTTGCCTAGTGTTAAGTTGTTGGTGGTGTGTGTGTTGAGACAGGGAGGGAGGGGTGGGGGGGGTGGCCAGGTGCTCCCATTCAGAGAAATCTCAAAATACCCCCGTACATGTATTACCAGTGCAAGCTATTATCAAAAGACTTACAACAGAAAATATTTTCCCTACAATAAGAGATAAATATATATCTTTCTAAAAATATATATCGTTTCAAAAAGTCTGATCATGATTGTTTGAAGTGCATATGCACAGAAAATTATTATCATTTATTTAACGATTGTGATTACTCGAAAATATTTTGGAACAAGGTCTTAATTTTTCTCAGAAAAACAGAAGTATTACTTGATAATGACAAAATTGAATACTGTTATTTATTTGTAGCAACCAATGTGATTATAGAATTTCAAAATATGTAGTTTTTACAAATCCATTGATTAATTTAGCTTCTTATGTTTTATATACGCAAAAAGAAAATGTAATTTTAAAAACATATTTGACACTTATTTAAAGGAAGTATTATGGCGGGCAAATGTTGAAAAGTATCACTTCCGGAAAAGAATGTTGATTATGTTTTGTTTTTTTAATATTATTAATTTTGTGATATAAGTATAATTCAAGTGTTTGTCTTTGTAATTATGTGTTTCTTATCAATGTTTTATTCAATCAATGAATGACGGAGAAAAAAAAAATTAATACCTTGCCAATGACAGCTATAGGACTGAAAATAATCACATTTATGAAAGACGAGTTGCAAATTGAACATAAATTCCTTTATTATACATAGAAAATCTAATGCTGTAAAACCTGAACCTTCACAGATTACCAATGACAGCCATTTTTATGGCAAGAAATCTTCATTCATTTTCAAATTTTGTGTTGTGATTAAATGTGTTTTAAACATTCCACGGCATGATACTTTTGCAAATATCGACCACTTGCGAAATTCATGAAAATTCTGGTTTTACAGCATCAATAATGCATCAAAAGTATTTGATATATGTGTCTTCTTTATTGAAGCACTATTATAAAATATAAAGAATTCAACTGCTTCACAAAGCATTTATTAAAAAAGTAATGTTACATGATTTCAGTTTTATAACAGAAGTTGGAACTTTTACAAAATTTGTGATATAACAATGAAATTATATTTTATTCTGGTTTTGCAGAAAAGCATCAAGAAGTGCTTTGATATGTGTCTTCTTTATTGAAGTATTATTATAAAATAAACAGAATTAAACTGCTTCACAAAGCATTTACAAAAATGTTATTTTACATGATTGCAGTTCTTACAAAATTTGTGAAATAAGAATGCAATAATATTCTATGATTACAACTTATTTAAACATGCACTAGACACAATGCCACAAAATAGATACAACAGAATTCTTTTTTATTTTTTAAAGTTATTCATCCTACAACATTTACAAATATCTGTGTAAAAATAATTATACATTAAACAAAAATTATACCATCAGGAGAAAAAATAGAATACAAATTATACATGCAAAAATAATACATGAACATGATAAGCATAATCATTCATTACGATATTTCATTTCAGATATTACATTAAGATAATACAGATACAGTATGAACATTGATAAATTTCACATCAAATCTTTTTATGTTTTCTTAAAACTTTACATAGAAATACAATAGATTTTTTACCCGATGAGTAGTCAGAGGATAAGAAATAGAGTTCTTAGGCCATGATACAAATGTTAAAGATAAAGATGAGTTCTGGTAAAAAAAAAAAAAAATGAATTCTTACAGAATCACACGAAACTTACACTGAATGTTCAAGGTTACAAATAAATGTCATTTGCCAAACAATTTTGGTAGAAAATGTATTTTGTCTGAGTAATGAGCATAGAAAGATTAGGAAATCAAGGTGAGTAGCCCCGACACCATATGTGTAGTCCCATATTCATCTTTCTGTGTACAGTGCTTGTTAATTTACCAAGACTGGGCCAAATTTATTATGATTTTGATGACTCCAGAACTTGCAGTACAGACCAATACATACATGCTACATGAACAACTTTTTCTGATCCATTCCACACCTTTTCTTTCACGATGCAATCGGTTGACCAGAACTCACCTTTATCTTTAACATAAGACTTGTAACACTCAATTAGAGTCAGTAACACTCACACAAGATTTACGTATTGTAATCCTGTACAATAAACAAAATTGAAAAATAAAATAAAATGCATCCAGACAGATATACAATAAATATATTTTTATCAGGAAAAAGCGGATCACTGACAAAAGATTTACTTATTGTAATGCTGTACAGTAAACAAAATTGAAAAATAAAATAAAATGCATCAAGACAGATATACAATAAGAATATTTTTTATCAGAAAAAATGACCACTGACAAAAAATGTATTCATTGTAATGCTGTACGATAAACAAAATTGAAAAATGAAATGAAATGCATCAAGACAGATATACAATAAGAATAATTTTTATCAGGGAAAAACGGACCACTGACAAAAGATGTACTTATTGCAATGCTGTACAATAAACAAAATTGAAAAATAAAATAAAATGCATCAAGATAGATTATACAATAAGAATATTTTTGATCAGGAAACCCCAAAATATCTAAAATACAATGATACATATTGAACGTGATTGCTGAATATAAACTCTGTGATATCTTCTCCCTATTGTTTAACTTCAAATTAGAATTAAATATCCTTTCATATATGGTTAACAAGTATCGTGGATATAAGAAGGGGGATATAACGAAAGGTAATCATCACTGCATGGGAGATCTTCAATTTGGCAACATGCAGTTGATCGTTGATGCCATTCAGGAATTTTTTTCCAAACTTGATAGTAAAAGGACGATACAGTTTAAAATTTGTTTTCATAGAAATGTGATTATGTTCTACTTTTTCAAAATATAATGGAGATATTAGTGTTATATTATACTGCAGGCATACATGATACGGTTGACCAACTAAATTATTTTTACCCCTTGTAAATTTGAATTTGATGTTCTTTGTGTTTTTCCTAACACAAGAATGAAAGGTTGACTGGTTTAATTAGGGCCTTTGTTGAATACTTTTAATAGTATAATTTTTAAATTGTCATTCTCAAGAAACATAAATCTGGACATATAAATGGTTTACATACTTTTAAAAATGACAACATTTGGTAAGGGTATGAATAATTTAGTCGATAACTGTAGAGCCGCTAGCACGTATTGCCATTTATTAAAGATATAATGCATGTATGTTTATATTCTAAATGAATCACAATAAACCGACTAACAGTTGAAACTCTTAGAAATATGAAATTTTATTGCCTATTTGAAGATAACTCCTGATCATTTATAAAAGATGTGGAATGGCATCATTGGCAAGAATAAAAAATATAAAACTGAACAAAGAGTGAGACATTAACCAAGCAAGGTACTAACAGTTTAAACTTGATGCTATGAAGGAAAAAATCACTTGCGCTGGTGTAAAACATGAAAAGTGAATTTCTTTTGCCAAACTGTGTCAATTTAATCCTTACCGGATATTTACATAGTGGATTATAAATAAACGTCTCTGGAGAATATCCAAGAGTGAAATATGTACACACTTTAATCAATTCACACTATCATTAATTACTGCACATAGCCTCTAAAATACTACATAGGCAGGCCATTACTAGGGTAACATCCCCCTCCCCCCCCCCCCCCCCCCGTCCTAGCATTTTATGCAACAACAACAACAACAAAATAACCTTTTTTTTTCGTCCCTTCTTTTCTGAAATATTTTTGTTTGTATCCTTTGTCGCCTTGTCGGTCAATTTGATTATCTGACGACTGTTTTTTTTTTTTAATCTCTGTAGTTGGCATCTTCAATATGTTTGCTTGTTGTTGTGTTCCGGGGCTTTTTGAAAATTAGAGCTGCCACGTCGGCAATTTTGCAACCACCACTGCCAGTTTCAAAGTGGTCTAGCGGCGCCCGTATTTATAGATGCATACTTTCTACTCCTGATCTTCAAGAAGTGCCGAATAGAATTTAGCTCCGGGTCGTCTTTCAAAAGCGTATGTAGACGTCGCCAGACATTCCTTGCCGAGTAAGCACAAACCCTCGCAGGCGATGAAAGTATAACACGAGCAACGGAAATCAGCAAAACACAATTGACTGCATTTGATGATTGACGAAACTGTGTATGATGACAGAACATAGGCATCGACGAGGGCGACATTGCTGGCCAGTAATCGGAAGTTTTTAGAGCTCGTGTGATCTGTTTCAAAGGGTTATAAAGTTAAAGATAAAATCACAAATATGAGTTAGGTCAGCTTACAAGTCCCCGAAAATATGCAAAATGAAAGATGACTCTTAAAGGTGTAACAATTAATGAAAAATTCAAAGATAAAGAGAGAAAAATAGGAAATGAATCAAATTATACCGTTAAGATCCTTGTCGTTTTCCTTCAAACAAATGTACTTTATTTACAATTTACTTACATCATTTGCCTTCTTATATTACCCTGTACCATCTTAATTCTATTCATCGGCACCAAATTGCTTGATTCACCCCTGTCATCAAGTGTAACGTGAACGGGTTGAAGGGTTACATACTATGGTTTGTTTTAAGGGCGTCGCTCGGTCGCCGCTGAAGTTTTTAGCGCGGAGTTAAAATTCGGGTGGCGCCTGCTCACTTTTTACTCGCCGCCCAAAATACGCCTAGTACCTTGGCGGTCGCCGCCCTGGCAACGACCTTATCGAGCGTTCGCTGTCGAGCGATTTAGATCAAAAATCGAAGCCGCTAGGTCAAAGGCTGCCAAGCGGTCACCGCCCGATCGCCGCTAGATCGCCGCTGGGATCAGTCGGTCACTGGGCGGCGAATCAAAAATCGGTCTGCGTTCGGGCAGCGCCAGCTCGGCAGCCTTTGACATAACGGCCTCGATTTTTGACCTAAATCGCTCGATGGCGAACGCTCGATTAAGTCAGTGCCCGGTCGGTCGGTCGCCGCTCAGAGTTGTGACAATAGCTTTAGGGATAAAACGGGTATACGTACATCTCCGTTATTACACACAAGGCGTTATTGCCTTAACGTATTACTGTGTCAGTGATTAGTTAGGTCTTTGACGCACCACGGTGACACCGTACACTCAATGCAAATATAATATTTAATTAGCTTAGTATAGAGAAAAAAAAATGAATCGAAACAACGCCTTGTGTGCAGCAGAAATAGCCCATTTATGCAGGTAGGGGGGGGGGGGTAGACTGAAACAAATATTCAAATTTATGGAATAATTAAATAAATAAATAAACTTTCAAAAAAATTATTTACCTCTGTCCCGAGGTGAGGATTGACGTGTAGTTGTAGAAATTGCCTGGGTTGTGTGCGTTAACATTGTTGCACTAGTGGTGTCGGTTGCCTGATCAGAAGTAAGCGAAGCAACATCTGTTAATCCTTGCCCTGTTGTTGATGTTGAGGATGCATGTGAGGTTGGTGTTGTTGATGCTGGACTGCTTGTTGTCTCACTGATCGCATCATCGGTTGTTGACGAAGGTTGCGTAGAGCCACTCGTTGTTACAACATTGTCAGTCTGAGTAGTGGAACTGGACGTTTTGGATGACGTCATTTGATTTGGTGTGGTTTGGGTTGGACCTTCGGGAGAAGTGGCAGCGCCTGGCGTTTGCTGAACAGTACTCGATTGGATACCTGTTGACGTTGAAGTAAATATGGAGATACACTGTTAAAAAAAGTTGGGCAGATGTTACTGGGTAAATTGAAGTTGTGTAAATTTTGTCCAATAATTGGGCTTTTTTTTCTCCCACCCATTTACTATATGAAGATACCTCATGAAAGGTAAACAGACAGGTTGGGTAGGTGTTACTTGGCAAATCGATGTTGGGCAAATCTCGTTCAACATCTGGGTTATTTCCAACCAACCATGTAGTTACCGATGATATAATTGGGTAATGTTATTGGGCAAATTAGAGTTAGGCCATTTCTGTCCAACATAATTATGGGGTATTTTCTCCAAACCATTTACTACATGTATTTACCCATTTGCAATTACATGTTCAATATAAGTTGGGCAGATGGAACTGGGCAAACGTAAGTCAGGCAACATTATTTTACAACAATAATGTTATATTGTTAAATTAGAGGTGTCGTGGTCGAGTGGATATGTCACACGACTGTAGATCACAAGGTCTGTTCGAGTCCCGCCCGGGCACAAATGTCCTTTTGCATATAATATTTTATCCAACTTAATTGCCCAACTAGTGTCTAATATATGCTACATATTATGGTGAGAATGGGGTGAATTTCTGATTGGGTAAATTTTTGTTGGTTAAAAGTTGTATTTCTTTTTATCCAACACTGGGTAAATCATGCCAAATCTTTAATTTACCCAACGTTGTTTGGACACATAATCGTCATTCTTGTTCGGTTGAAATTGGGCCAATTTGTTTGCCCAATATTTGTTAGAGTGTAGTTGTAATGTAAAAGATTGACACACGAAGCGTTATTTTCCACACGTGTTACTGCGTCAGTGATCTGTTTGGTATTTGACACGCCATGCGTCAGTGATCTGTTTGGTATTTGACGCGCCATGCGTCAGTGATCTGTTTGGTATTTGACGCGCCATGCGTCAGTGATCTGTTTGGTATTTGACGCGCCATGCGTCAGTGATCTGTTTGGTATTTGACGTGCCATGCGTCAGTGATATTTTTGGTATTTGACGCGCAATGCGTCAGTGATCCGTTTGGTATTTGACGCGCCATGCGTCATTGATCTGTTTGGTATTTGACTTGCCATGCGTCAGTGATCTGTTTGGTATTTGACTTGCCATGCGTCAGTGATCTGTTTGTTATTTGACGCGCCATGCGTCAGTGATCTGTTTGGTATTTGACCGCCATACGTCAGTGATCTGTTTGTTATTGGACGCGCCATGCGTCAGTGATCTGTTTGGTATTTGACCCGTCATGCGTCAGTGATCTGGTTGTTATTTGACGCGCCATGCGTCAGTGACACCGTAAAGCCAATGCAAACATTATGTTTCATTAGCGTAGTATAGGTGAATAAAAAGATCGAAACAACGCCTTGTGCGATGCAGACATAACCCGCTTGTGCAAGTGGGGAATGGGAGAGGCCACCACGTATAACACAAACAAACAATTTCGATTACCTCTGTCCCGAGGAGAGGACCGACGTGTAGTCGCAGACATTGCCGTGGTTGTGTGCGTTGACGCTGTTGCATGAGTGGTGTAGGTTGCCTGTTCAGAAGTAGGCGAAGCAGCATCTGTTGATCCTTGCCCTGCTAATTTTGACGTTGATGATGCTTTCGAGGTTGGTGTCGTTGATGCTAGACTGCTTGTTGTCTCACTGATCGCATCATCGGTTGTTGACGAAGGTTGCGTAGAGCCACTCGTTGTTACAACATTGTCAGTCTGAGTAGTGGAACTGTACGTTTCGGATGACGTCAGTTGATTTGGTGTGGTTTGGGTTGGACCTTCAAGTGAAGTGGCAGTGCCTGATGTTGTTTGCTGTACAGAACTCGTTTGGAAACCTGTTGACGTTGAAGTAAATGGCGAGAAAGTTGCAATGACAAATCTCAAAATTAAAGATGGATTGGGCAAAAAACGTTTTCCTTGGAATCCGTTAGTAAAATACTTTTTTGATCATCAATGACTTGCCGGCGGGAAAAGAAATTTCTTCTTAAACTTCAAAACAATTATATCAGGGATGCATTAAATTAACTGAATGAAGTACTTTTTCTGTATATCACTGAAGAAGAAAAAAAAACATGAAAACCCCATGAAAATTGAATTGAATTAACTTATATTGGTAAAACTGCTATGGATCATCAGTATATATTCACCTTCTTCTTTCCCGCAGATATAATGGTGCTCGGGGTAACCATCACAACTGTGATCTTCCACTTCCCATTTGTAGGACTTATTTGGTACTATAGTGACACACTTCTCTCCTTCATCGAAAATCTCTGAATCATCTGCGAAGTTGGAGTAGGTCAGACTCGAACCGTCCAGCCAAGTCACACTGGATGATAAACCTATCCAATGCTTCTCATTATTACTAGATAGGCTACTCTGCAAGAACTGTTGTTCTTCCTGTGATCCTATGTAGACAAGATGCATTCCACGTTCCTCGCAGGACGATTTTGACGAGGCGAAGTTTGACTTGATTTCTGAGAAATAATAACACGACCCGTCATTCTCGCTTTGATCAGATCCACAAGCTGCAAATAAAAGAGAGAGAGAGAGACATGGACATCGACAAACAGACGAGAATGGGAAGAAGAGATGAATGAAATATATATGAAGGAGTATAGGCACAGAGAGGAAGAGGGGAAGAGAATGTGAGAATGAGAAAGAGGTGGATGGAAGAGACAGAGAGAGACAGAAAGAGAGAGTGAGAAGGAAAGAGAGAGAGAGAGAGAGTTTGGGTGTGAAATCGGAGGGAGAGGATAAGGAAGAGAGAGAGGGAGAGAGAGAGGGGAAGGAAGAAACTATAAGAGAGAGAGAGAGAGAGGAGAGAGACAGAGAGGGGAGGGAGAGAGGGAGAAAGAAAGAGAGAGAGAGAGAGAGAGAGAGAGAGATAGGGATTGAGAGCGTGATATATTAAATAATGGTTACATATTTTAGGTTAACTTTCGCAGATTACATTTTCATGCCATACATACACTTATCGGTTGATTCGCTCAAATAAAAAAGTTAAAAAATAATTTGCTTATAACGATCGGTCGCTAGAAATATCAAACCATCATTTTGGACAATTAGTTGAAGTTCACATAATTATATAGGGGCTATTTTCCCCTATTATACAAGCAAACTATTTCATATTCGATTTTGGTTTCTTGTTATTTGTTTTTTACTGTATATTTTTAGCCTTTTCTTAAAGGAAAAAAATATGAGAAGAAAAAAATTATGGCGGATCATGATTTTAAAAATCAACTACGACAAAATGTGATAGATGATATATTACTACATACAAAGAGATGAAAATCCAGACGAAAGATTGCCGGTTGTTAAAAGCAATTTAGATAATAAGTAGCAAAGTATTATAATGATTGTGGACACTTATTCTTTTTATAATACTGTTCTTGGCTTTTATTTTTTTTCACAACTATATTTTGACGTTTGCAAGTAAATAAACACCCCCAATCGAGGCACACAAATATGGATGAAGAAAAGCGATAAGAAGACACCTATCCAGTTACTCACCTAGATCAGCAGTCACTGAGCTCTGTTGGTTCAATATAACGAAAGTGATAAAGAAAGATAACTCCATCTGCATAAATATAAAATAATGATACTACTAATAATAGACACATTTGTATAGCAATTAATACTGCGTTCCTAAAAGCTTTCGATTGTAACTATCACATTAGCCCGGTCATTGGATTTAGATGCTTAACAACACATGATAGTTCACACGCTCCGCTTCCTGGGGAGTATTCCGCCAGGCGTCAGTTTACATACAAGCGCACACATGCCAACCCGACCACATTAACATTGAAATTCTACCGGGTACCCATTTAACACATGGGTGCAAATATAGATTTAAGTCTTGCCAACCGACATTAGTGGCGAGGTGGGACTTTAACCGCGAATTATGTGATCCACAGTCCTGTGCCATATCCACTAGCAAATATACATCATCACAAAAATGATAACATTAGGAAAATAATGTTTACGTTGGAAATGGAACAACATGTATATATTGAACGCAATATGATTATAAACTTTTATATATATATATATATATATATATATATATATACATTATTTTCAGTCATTTCAATTTCAAGGAATATCATTTTTTGGGATTGCAAACAACCACCTGCATTTCAAATTTTAAAGAGATATACAAAAACAAACAAAAATTACTTACCAGATAAAAAAAACCACGCAAGGCAGGAAACAACCTTAGTCCACTCAAAGGTAAATCAACCATGATGATGATTTTCTTTTATAGATCCTTCTCTTTGATCGATATTGTCAATGGAGTTAACGAGTTATGAAGAATATTGAGACAAATCCTGAATCTTTTCTTCCTTCTCAAAATGTAAGTAACAATTGTTTTTCTCTTCCGTTTTCAGACAAATCTCGTTGTACTCAACTTTGGAAATTTTCTTCCAATAATCTACTCACTTAACGCAGGGAAATCCAAACAGAAAAAGAACCTAAGAATCACTAGAGGTGAAGGTGATTTTGCACGCTCTGCTGAAAAAACCCCGCTCTTATCTTGATACGATTAGTTTGCGAAATGCTCAACGAGAGTATTTTGCAAATGACGAGAGACATATACAAGGTTTTAATAGATGCAGCCTACTGAAATGATGTGAGGCGTTGATCACCATGGTATCAACTCGCATTTTATTCAAATTTGTGTTAATTTTGTGCCTGACTGCACGCGATGTATTGATGCATTATATCTCTAATTGCTATCCCGTCCGCACCAACAAGTTCGACACCAAAGAAAATAGTTACCTTACCTCCACTGGCCAAGAATTGGCTTCAATTCAATTCAATTTAATTTCGATTTGTATGCACCACAGTATATTCTAAGTATGATTGTGAACCACGTTACAGTCTAATTCAGTGTATTAACTAAATATAAATGATTTATAAGGGATTTCTAATCGGTCGAGGCGTTTCGATGTAAATTATATATTATCTCATTACCAATCCATTATTGGATTAAAACTGAATATGTTTTCCGCTTGTTGATTGACAAGGATGCCAAGTAGGAATAGTGTGACCTATCTAGTCATAGAAAACCGAAACTCAGTTCTCAAAAAAAAAATGTACATGGGGTGTGGAGAGAGATAGAGAGAGACAGGGTGAGAGTGAAATTGTAATTATATTTACAAAGGTTAAATTCGGGCCTTTCCACGAAGGTTGCGGAAACCTGTGAAGTTGGATCGACCATTACAGAATTAAAATACAACCCCCCCAAAAAAAATATTTAAAAATATCATGAGCACACAACAATAAATTTAGTAAAATAAGCAAAGTACAGACACTTCAATTATCTATAAAACGAGAAAAGTGAAATAGAATATATATATATATATATATATATATATATATATATATAACCCTACTTTCTACATTAAGTGGACATCATAAAAATCCTAACTCTAACTCTAACTCTAACCCTAACCCTAAAACCTAACCCTAAACCTAACCCTAAACCTAACCCTAACCCTAATGTCTTTTTAATGACTCATTTTCTCACCCCAAATGTCCCTCCAATGACGCCTTTAGTGAAATTACATATATAGAGAGAGATATATAAATAAATTGGGCTTTCTATAAGAAATAAAACGTAAAAAACGCTAATGACAATGTCTACTTAATGACTAATTTGTTCACTCCAAATATCCCTTTAATGACGCCTTTAGTAAACAAAATATATATATATATATAAAGGAGGAAAAGAAAACAACAATGAAGGGGTTCAGATATAAAACAAATCTTTGTGGTCATGAAATAATGTGATGATAAAGAGTCACTCATATCCTATCCATAGAAATAGTAAGACAGAGTCTCACCAATCACCGTAGGAGCACCAGTTCCAGACGGAATGGGTAAGGACTACCCTCAAGAACATTTAACCGCATCGCCCGGTTAGGTCTTCAGCAGGTTCCCTACGACATTCACGTCTGGCATCAACCTGTGCCTGGAGACATTGGCATAAGATTGCACTTTGATTTGATTTAATTTGATTTGATTTATTGGTTTCTGCATCTTTTTTCTTTTTTTCATTATACATTTTCATGAACATAATATGGTTTGATACAATATTTTAGGTATATAATTTTATACAGTAATAATGAGTATAATGAAATTAAACAAATATAGTGAATGCATAATTAAAATACATTAGATGCAGGAGGGCTACAGAAATAAGCAAAGTAGCTTGACATGCCCGCATCCCTCAACTTAGATACAACAATTAAAAAAAATATTAAAAAAAAGAGTGTCTTGCAGAGAAGAAAATGAAAGGGGAGAGAAGGAGCGTTGGTAATTATACAATAAATCTCCTACATCTGCTGATTGAATGCAGGTTCAAGTTCATGAATGGATAAACGATGCTAGGTCATGGACGATTACACATCATTGTTGAATATACAGTCAATGTACACACGAACATGAATACAGTATAATTACACACGACAGGATCAATACGTAGACAATAACATAGTTTTAACTGCCTTCTTAAAAGAATACAATGTTCTAAGGTTTCGTATTACAATGGGCAGAGAGTTCCAGATGTCTGGGCCGGCGTGTCTAAAGGATTTGAGAGCCAATGCGGTTTTTGGATTTCTTAAATGGAATTTTTCAGTTTGCCTTGTAGGGTAAGAGTGGTTGGTTTTATTCAAATTAAACAATGGGGGAAAGTATGAAGGTAGTAAACCATTTTGTAAGCGAAACATGAAAAGTGCTATTTGTAGAATATTTATATCATCAGCTTTTAGAGTTCTTAGTTTTGAAAACAAGGGATTGGTGTGGTCGCGATAGGAAGAATCAGTACATATACGCATGGCTTTCTTTTGTAATAGTAAAATGGAGTAAACGTTGCTTTTCAAATTTGCCCATATAATGTTACAATATGAAATATAATTTTTACCTCTTACATTTTTACCTCTGAAATTTTTACCTCTGACATTTTTACACCTGACATTTTTACTCTGAAATTATTACCTCTGACATATTTATGTGGTATCGATGAAGCAGCGTTTTTTATGAATGGGAGATTAATACACACAATGTCTAACAACTCTATCAAAAACGTATATATGTCAAGGTTATTCCATTCAGAGATATAACACAAACAAATTGGCAATTGGTAAGAAGCATGGATAATTTCGAGTAATTTTCTACCTCGAAAATTAATCATGATCCCTCTAAAAATGTAATTCATCATTTTGTAATTCTAGCGAATTAATTAGATTGCAATTATCTGTGAGCTTTGTGTCTTTAAAGCCCCCCCCCCCCTTCCCCCAGCAATAATGACACAAAACTCATGGAATAAGTATTCCAGCTGCTGAGAGCCAGAAGGGCATTAATCAATGTATCATTCTATACAGAGTTATACCCTTTTGACTCTTAATAAACGATGAATCCATCCCACCTGTTTGTTACTCATATATGTCATATTTCTGTTATATAGTTAGAGTTCTCAAGTTGATTGTAAGGTACATGTAGGCTTTGTTGTGGTAGAACAATTTTTTTCTATTTGTTAGATGCTACTATAATTTTCAGGATTACATGAAATATATTGCCAATAAGAAAGTAAGAGAAAGGAAAAGATACTTTTGTAAATAAATGCGAAATTCGAAGGAATATATGAAAGTATCTGGTGGGAGAAGGATAGAAGATGTTTTTGGATAGAGGCTGATATTGGTGTAAAAAATGTTCTATTTACCTGTAGATTAGACTAAATATGGGCCTGTGATTGTTTAGTATTATTTTTTATTCTTTTGTATGACCCATGAACTCCTGATGAACTTTCACCATTAAAATTTAATGATTCAATCCGTATGAGTGAATTCAAGTGCAATAAGCGACATTTCCATTCATCATAGTCACACACGAAATGTGTTTTACTTTGAAAATCAACGTATAAGCAGTAACAATGTTTAATTTCGAATGCAGTCATTTAATATATTTCATATATCATAGAGATGGTATAAGTATGTTATAAGTTTATGTACATTGCATAGCCTTTCAAGACATACACAGATCATCTTTACGTTTATTAGTTACCAGCCTTCTGTGCTGTAGTTCCTCCCCTTCGCCATTACATAAGTGGAAATAATTTGTTTGTGTTTGTGCCTGTTCTGTCATCTGAGGGGGAACAGTTTATAGGGGAATAAGACAATGCACAATTAACCGATAGCTTCTGCTGCGAACAATAGTCATGTGAAAACAGATGTCATATATTTTTTATTTTTTATACGACTGTATGTCCTTCATACAAAAACAAAATCAGTTGCGTCTTGTTTGTGTTGCTTTATACGTTCCGTCTCTAAATTTAACTTAATTGCGGCAGTTAGGATATTAAGACATGACCGACTCGACTGCAAACTAAAAAATAAACAAAGCCGGGACATCTTTATCCAAAACAGTTGATTTTGCTTTTGTCAATATTTTAGGTTGCAAAAGTTTCTAAAGAAGTCCTGAAAAGTTAAAGAGATTTTTGAAGAACTTTTTTTGAGGAGCAAGCAATGGCTTATCCAACATAGAATCAAGTCAACATCAGCCCCCTTGTTTGACTGC